CCAGTGAGTAATGGCATGCAAAAGGGGCTTTCAAGTATGGAGTTGCTATTCATGACCCACATGATGTTTATGCCTGCAAAATAAGTGAGCTGTTGTTAAAAATTACCCATTCTTACAGACAGACAGATAACCCATGACCTTGCATAATTTGGCTTCTGCTTATGCTGCTTACCTCTCACTATTATTCCCCTTCTGCTGAGCTATACATTCTCCTTATTGTGAGCTTTCAGTTATCAGAAAGAGCCATATTGTTCTAAGAGAATGAATTTACAAATAATGGCCATGCCATATATGATGGTAAAACTCTGACCCTCATAAAAAGTCCAGGCAGCCAAACCACAATTTCTGTAGCAGTTGACCCAGAAAAGTCAGAATATGGTCAACAACTGCCCCTTCTTTGTTTTTGCTCCTCTGTCCTCTTCTTTGAACTTAGGACCATTCAGAAAAAGGCAAATTTGCCCCCCAACCCAATTACCCAAGAGGCCCTGGTTCCATTTAGCCCACGTCCAGCCTCCCTGTGCCAACAGCTTTCAATCAGAAGGTACCTGGATCCTCCCCTCGTTGTTTTTATTGTGAAACTTTCCTGCCTCCCTGATGGCCTTTGAGTATCTGCCAGATGCTAGTGATAATGGCTGGCTCCTTGCTGCAAACTTGGAATAAGCAGACTGTTCACATTTGGGAGGTCTTTGTTTATTTCCATTCTTCTTTTGGCCTTTTGCACATTTGTTTCCTTTTTTTCTCTTCCTGGATCTTTCCTCCTTATGTGGGTCATTTGTATCCATCTTTTAAGGATCAGTTTAGATGTCACTCATCACAACAATAACAATAATAATCATTATTAGAATCATAGTTAACTGTGCCAAGAACTGTTCTAAGCATGTTCAGTTTATCAGCTCATTAAACTCTCAGAACAATTATTGAAATAGGTTTCTATTATTGCCTACATTTTACAGACAAGAAAAGATAACCCAGAGAGATAAAGTAACTCTCCTGAGGTCACTCAACTAGTAGGTGAAGCTTTTGGAATAGAACTTAGGTAGCCTGTCACCATAGTTCACTTTTGAGACCCTGCTGCTACTCTGCTTTCAGAGTAGATTTTCATATGCCCTCGTTTTGGGATAGGGACTTACCTTTAATAATAATACTGTGTGATAATTATTTATGAATTTATTTGTAGTCCCTACTAACATTTAAGGGGCTTCCCTGATGGCTCAGTGAGTAAAGAATCTGCCTGCAATGCAGGAGGCACAGGAGATGCAGGTTTTTATGCCTGGGTTGGGAAGATCCCTGGAGAAGCAAATGGCAACCCACTCCCGTATTCTTGCCTGGGAAATCCCACGGAGAAAAGGAGCCTTGGCAGGCTACAGTCCAAAGAGCCGTAAAGGGTCGGGCACTACTGAGCAACTAAGCATGCCTGGTTACTACTATAATTAAAGTTTTCTTAGTACAAGGAGAGTTTATAATGTTTGTAATCAAGCATATAGTAGTGTCTCTCTAAATGCGTATTTGAGGAATGAACAAATTAATGATTGAATAAATGAAATGTACACAAATGTCTCAATTATTATGTAAAATTAGAAGATAATAGCTTTAAAAAGAGATAAAGGGACCCTGCTTCTATGCAAACTTTGAATGCAACACAAGTCTGCATATGAATTTACAATTATTATTCAGGAAATCATCTCTCAAAGCAGGAATTCTTCTCTCCTCTTTGCTTTGTTTCTTTCCACACTTTTATTCTTTTTAATTTAAAATTTTTTTTTTATTGTTTTAAGTATTTACTGGAGTGTAAGTGTGAGAGCATTAGTTGCTCAGTCGTGTGTGACTCTTTGTGACCCCATGGACTGTAGCCCAACAGGCTCCTCTGTCCATTGGTATTCTCCAGGCGAGTTTACGGGAGTAGGTAGCCTTCTCCAGTCATTGAACCTGGATCTCCTGCATTGCAGGCACAGCCATCAGGAAACAGTTGCTTTGCAATGTTTTTCTTAGTTTGTACTGTACAGGAGGGTGAATCAGCTATACATATACATATATCTCCTCTTTTTCCCTCCATACTCTTCAACATAATCATGTGCTGTGCTGTGCTTAGTCACTCAGTCATGTCTGACTCTTTGTGACCCTGTGGACTGTAGCCCACTAGTCTCCTCTGTGCATGGAATTCTCCAGGCAAGAATACTGGAGTGGGTTGCCATTCTCTTCTCCAGGGGATCCTCCCAACCCAAGGATTGAACCTGGGTGTCCTGCATTGCAGCCAGATTCCTTACCATCTGAGCCAACAGGGAAGCCCAGGTATTCCTATGAATTATGTCAGGAATTTAGAGAAAACTCTCCAGTGGAAAGTTCTTTAATGTGTCAAGCCATTGCTTTCTGTCTTTGTAACTCACACCCTGGGACTGATGCTGAGCCCTTGTCCATGCTCAGTGAGTCTCTTTTCTTACACTGGTAAGACTGACCTGTCTGGAGAAGCACTAAGGCAGTCATCATGTTCAACTTCTTGACTTTATGTTGAATATTGTTGAAATCTATTCATTCACTCAAGAGCTATTTATTGGGTCTTTACTAGGATTCTGCTATTGTCCCAGGATTTTGGGGACCCAGAGGTAAATTAGGCAAGGCTCATGACTTAACCAAAGCAGATGATATTAAGAAGAGGTGGCAAGAATACACAGAAGAACTGTACAAAAAAGATCTTTAATGACCCAGATAATGATGGGTCATATGGTCACACAATAGTGCGACCACTCACCTAGAGCCAGACATCTTGGAGTGCTAAGTCAAGTGGTCCGTAGGAAGCATCACTACCAACAAAGCTAGTGGAGGAGATGGAATTCCAGCTGAGCTATTTCAAATCCTAAAAGATGATGCTGTTAAAGTGCTGTACTCAATAGGCCAGCAAATTTGGAAAACACAGCAGTGGCCACAGGACTGGGAAAGGTCAGCTTTTATTCCAGCCCCAAAGAAAGGCAGTGCCAAAGAATGTTTGAAATATCACACAATTGCACTCATTTCACATGGTAGCAAAGTAATGCTCAAATATTTTTCAAGCTAGGCTTCAATAGTATGTGAACTGAGAATTTCCAGATGTTCAAGCTGGATTTAGAAAAGGTAGAGGGACCAGATATCAAATTGCCAACATCTGTTGGATCATCGAAAAAGCAAGAGAGTTCCAGAAAAACATCTACTTTTTCTTCGTCGACTATGCTAAAACCTTTGACTGTGTGGATAACAACAAACTGTGGAAAATTCTTCAAGTGATGAGAATGCCAGACCACCTTACCTGTTTCCTGAGAAACCTGTATGCAGATCAAGAAACAACAGTTAGAACAGAACATGGAACAATGGCCTGGTTCAAAATTGGGAAAGGAGTATGTCAAGGCTGTTTGTTGTAACCCTACTTATTTAACTTTAATGCAGAGTACATCATGTGAAATGCCAGGCTGGGTAAAGCACAAGCTGGAATCAAGATTGCTGGGAGAAGTATCAATAACCTTAGATATGCAGATGACACTGCTCTTATGGCAGAAAGCTAAGAGGAACTAAAGAGCCTCTTGATGAAGGTGAAAGAGAAGAGGAGAAAGCTAGTTTAAAACTCAACATTCAAAAAATGAAGATCACAGCAACTGGTCCTATTGCTTCATGTCAAATAGATGGGGAAACAATGGAAACAGTGACAGACTTTATTTTTTTTGGGCTCCAAAATAACTGCAGATGGTGACTGCAGTCATGAAATTAAAAGACGCTTGCTCCTTGGAAGAAAAACTATGACCAACCTAGACAGCGTATTAAAAAGCAGAGACATCACTTTGCCGACTGAGGCTCATCTAGTCAAACCTATGGCTTTTCCAGTAGTCATGTATGGATGTGAGAGTTGGACCATAAAGAAGGTTGAGTACCACTGAAGAATTGATGCTTTCAAACAGTGGTGTTGGAGAAGACTCTTGAGAGTCCCTTGTACTGCAAGGAGATCAAACCAGTCAATCCTAAAGGAAATCAATCCTAAATATTCATTTTAAGGAGTGAGGCTGGAGCTGAAGCCACAATACTTTGGCCACCTGATGCAAAGAGCTGACTCATTGGAATAGACTCTGATGCTGGGAAGGATTGAAGGTAGAAGGAGAAGGGTATGACAGAGGATGAGATGGTTGGATGGTATCACAGACTTGATGGACAAGAGTTTTAAGCTCCAGGAGATGGTGAAGGACATGGAAGCCTGGCGTGCTGCAGTCCATGTGGTGGCAAAGAGTTGGACACAACTGAGTGACTGAACAACAACAATAACAACAATTCTAGTGGAATTGAGTGACAAGTCAAACATGCAAACAAGCAAAGAAAATAATTTTTTAAAAATATGAACATGTAAATTTAAAATTTTAATTGAAGTATAATAGATTTACAATGCAAAGTTAGTTTCAGATGTATGGCAAAGTGATTCAGTTACATATACATATATATATTATATATATATGTGTTATATATATTTATAAGAATATATATGTGTGTTTTATATATATATATAAGAATATATATATAAGAATATATATATTCTTGTTCATATTCTTTTTCCTTAGAGACTATTGTTCCCCGGACTATACAGTAGGTCCTTTTTGGTTATCTATTTTATATAGAGTAGTATGTATATGTTAATGCCAAACTCCAAATTTATCCCCCCACCCAACAAATAAAATAATTTCAAAAAAAGAATAATTTCAGTAAGTGTCCCATTGGCACAAAGTTACGTGATAGCAACCTGTCCAAACGAATCCCTTTCAGAATGTAACAGCTTCCATAATTGTGTCACCCCATCACATTCTCTTGTCTCTGATCAGCCAGTCTTCCTTGGACTTCATGTTTCCTTCCAAATGGTAGGAAGTTATAAACCTTATTTTGGATCAAAGTTTTTTTTGGGAAATTATTATTCCCAATCCTCTCCCAATCCTTATTTATTGCCAGCATAATGAAGATGACTTTTCTTCTCATACTTTCTTTTATTTTTCTCCTAGGAATTGACTATTATAACAAGATCATTGATGATTTGTTAACAAATGGGGTCACACCCATCGTGACCCTCTACCACTTTGATTTGCCTCAGGCCTTGGAAGACCAAGGAGGCTGGCTCTCAGAGGCGATCATCGAATCCTTCGACAAATATGCTCGGTTTTGCTTCAGTACATTTGGGGATCGAGTCAAGCAGTGGATCACCATGAATGAGCCTAATATTTTTGCCGTGATGGCTTATGAATTTGGTGTATTTCCTCCTGGTGTGCCTCACGTTGGAACTAAAGCTTATCAGGCCGCTCATAATTTGATTAAAGCGCATGCCAGATCCTGGCACAGCTACGATTCCTTATTCCGAAAAGAGCAGAAGGGCATGGTATCTCTGTCAGTTTTTGCTGGCTGGGTGGAACCAGCAGACCCCGCCTCAGTGTCTGACCAGGAAGCAGTGAAAAGAGCCATGGCATTCCAGTTGGACTTCTTTGCTAAACCCATATTTACTGATGGCGATTACCCTGAACTTGTCAAGTCTCAGGTTGCCCTCATGAGCAAAAAGCAGGGCTACTCATCGTCACGGCTTCCAGAATTTACAGAAGAAGAGAAGATGATGATCAAAGGCACTGCTGATTTCTTTGCTGTGCAGTATTACACGACTCGCTTAGTCAAGAACCAGGAGAACAAGAAAGGAGAGCTGGGTTTACTCCAGGATGTGGAGGTTGAAGTTTTTCCAGACCCATCTTGGATAAGTTTGAATTGGGTCTGTGTGGTGCCGTGGGGAATACGTAAGCTACTGAAATACATTAAGGTAAATGCAGTATTTGTTTGCATCCATGTGTACCCAAACCTGGAAAGATGGGAAGATGCACATGTATCTATGTGTATAAACACCTGAAAAATGAGTGCTTTAGGCAATAGCATATACATTTGTTGGCCTGGGAAGAGGTGATTAGGATTTAAGTCAATGAGGGATAATTAGCTGATAGTAGTGTTAGTTGCTCAGTTGTGTCCAACTTTGTGACCCCATGGACTGTAGCCTGCCGGGCTCCTCTGTCCATGGTATTCTCCAGGCAAGAATACTGGAGTGGGGTTGCCATTCCCTTCTCCAGGGATTCTTCCTGACCCAGGGATCAAACCTGGGTCTCCTGCATTACAGGCAGATTCTTTACTGTCTGAGCAACCAGGGATAAAGGGCTTCAAAGCCATGATTAGACTTAGGATTTGCTGTTAAATTCAGTTGTAGCTACAGTAGTACCTTGGACATATTTTTCAGGCTGGGGTCACAATTGAGTTACTACAAGGCATAATAGGGGTTTGAAATAGCTGGATCCTTTTTGGGTCTCTGTTACGCTGTATGGCATCTAGGTAGCTGAAATGAAAATTTTAAGTTATCAGTTTTGTAGGATTCCTGCTATCAGGAGGATAGAGAATATAGCTGCTGGGGAGAGGAGGACCAAGGGGTTAAGGAGCAATGACAATCAGCAGATGCTGATGGAAGAAAGATATTTCTGTCTTCTCATTATAACAAGAGTCATTTGACTGTCTTCATGGATATTTGCACAGTTTTTCTTTTCCATTGTTAGTTATAAAAGGTCAGTGCGCGGAAAATTAAGTTAATAGGGTCAGTGCAATTTGATGAAAACTAGTTTTGGGGTTGTAGCTTAGAGAAGATAGAGGGTAATGCACCTGATTTTATGAGATTTTTTTTTTTCACATCTGTTTGGAATAAAACTTCTGCTTTCTCGTTCCAGGATACATATAATAACCCTGTAATTTACATCACTGAGAATGGGTTTCCCCAGGGTGACCCCACATCTTTTGATGACACTCAGCGCTGGGAGTATTTCAGACAGACATTTCAGGAACTGTTCAAAGGTACCATTTGAAATGATGAAAGATCAATTGTGCAAACTTAATATGATTTTCCCATGTGCCTATTTGCATTCAGCAAAGACCAATGATTTTGAAAGCTGAAATTCATGTAAATCAGTGTAAAGCTATGTAATTAACAGAGGGGGAAGAAAAAAGTATTTAGGAAAGAGGAAGGTGAGAATTTTGGCCTAACTTCAACCTGCTGAAATTTAATCAAGTAAAAAGCGACAGTCTTCAGCATTTTGTGACTCCTAGGTGAAGGTGACATGAATAGAAGGAGTGGTGGCTGTTGGGGAGAGGGCATTAGTTATTACACATAGATCAGCACTGACCAACTAGAGCATGCTTATTGGCATAGTTTAATATCCTGTCAAGAAATGAATTGGCAGAATTCTTAAAGGACCAAAATCAAGCATTTGTGTAATAAACTTTTAAGTGGTATGTGTCTTCAATCAATGAATGTTTCATTTAAAGTATAACCAAACAGCAGACATTTTTTTTGCCATATAGAATCTATGAATTTTACTTCAAGACAATATTGTTATTCTGGTAGCTTCTTTTACCCAATGGAATTCTTTTCATAGTTGAAAACAAATGTGAAGGAATAATCTTTAACTGGTAACACACATTTCTGCCTTAGTTAATTTCTCCCTTTTAGCTTCCACTTGGAACACTGTTGCTTCATAAATTTAATTTCTCCTCCCTATAAAGAAATCATATCATAGCAACAAAATTCAATGAAAATGAGGCTTTCAATTTCCTTTTTTTTAAAACCATGATAGGCACTTATTTCTCCTCACTTGGTTTGAGAGGTCCTGGAATTATTCTTTCCAAACTAAATCAGTAATATACTGGAATCAGTGAGAAGGAATTCTGGAAAGTGACACAAAGTGGTTTCTTTCCAAAACCTCAAATATATTGACTCAATTCCTCACCCAGCCCTGGGGTTTATTGACAGAGGGCAATTGGATTTCTACAATTTTACACAAGCAAAATCATTCTTTTGTGTTACACACAAAAAAGGTTCATCCTCTGTGTGGGAATTCGCCTTCTGATAAGAAAAGGAAATCTCTAGTTTTCTGAGATTCTTCCCCACTTCTCCCTATAAATGACCCTGCTGCTGCTATTTAACCATTAAGTCATGTCTGACTCTTTGCGACCCCATGGACTATAGCGCGCCAAGTTCCTCTGTTCATGGGATTTCCCAGGCAAGAATACTGGAGTGGGTTATAAATGACCCTGCTCATAGCTAATACACCAATGTTCCCAACTTCACCTCAAGAGACAAGTAGGCTAGTTATGATCATCAGATTTATGGATGCCCTAGGGACTACAAAGGACTTGTTCAACACTGTTCTGTGTGTTTTAGGGAAAAAAGAGAAAAAGTAGAAATTGTCTTTCTTCACTCCCATCTTGGTGCTCTGTTAAGTGCTAACACATAAGGACATTTCTTTGTTCTCTGAAGTCATTTTTAGTTGTTTCTACAGTGCCTTAGATCTTTAACACTAAAAACTCACCGGTGGACCCTCAAACTAAGATAACTTAAAGACAGAACAGTAACTGAAGGCAAGCGATGAAAATGTGAGAAGATTTGGGTTTGTGAGGGATAGGAGAGAAGATAAGGTTAGGAACAAAATCCTGCTTTCGAACTTATTGAATTCCTATTGTACTGTTGAATTAATGGAAAAAGTATGAACCTAAACCGTTAATTATTCACAGCGTCTACATTCTCTTCTGATTCTTAACATTATGATTTCTATTCTTTGCAAATTAACAAATAATATTGTATTTTTTGAAAATGTAGTTTTTCAGAATGTGTAGAAATCTACACATTGACCAAAAACACTATATTAAGTGTATCTATTCTGGACTGGATATAGTGATAGCTATTTTTCATATGTTGTTGTCGTGAACACCAGTTCTTTCTTCTGCAGTGAAACTCTTTTCCAATAACTAGTCCCTTTCCTTTCTAGGAAATACCCACCTTGCCCCTGTCTTAGACTTACCACAGGGATAGCTATGTAAGCAGAATAAATGACTGCTCTTTGTCAACAGGTAATTGATTGATCTAGATGTAGGCACATGGCGTGAGGTGGATCAATCCCAATTCTTCCCTGGGATTTAGAATTTGGACCAATCAGTTTGCTTGTCTCATAACATGGATTGACAAGGTTATGTAACTTTGTGGGCCATTGGTGGCTATGCTTTTCCATGTAAAGCTTAGGGGTAGTGAGAAGGTGGGTGGGCAACAGCTACCAGTGCACCCAGGGAAATGGAGACAAGAAACCAGGGAGAAATCAGGGGGACAGTTGTGCTTCTAATTCCAGTTTTTCTCAGACTCAGCTGCAAACATGTTTTTGAGAGACATTACTTTTACTTATAATTAAGGGCTCTTTCTGGTTCACCTGATTCTGATTGGATTTCTATCACTTGGAACAAAAAGGGTCTTAATTGATGCCATCACATTTTATTTTCAAGACAGTGAGATGAGGTCATTGCTCCTATCTTACAGATGAGAAAACTGAGTTTCAAAGAGGCTAAGTCATTTGCTCCAGATCAAAAAGTTACTAAGTAATATTTGCTGGAACAAGGCAGAATGTGTATAGTATTATTGTTACTGCCACTACTTTGGTGTTTGATAGGATCCGAGTCCAGGGCTTTCTGAGTGAGAGCACTTGCTTGTCCCACCACACTTCTAGAAAGTTTGCCTCACCTTTGGGTGCCCTGGGCTTGCGTAAATTCTTTGAAAGGGGTTCATGCTGCTTCGGCAGGAGCCAGCAAGTCCTATGACCTTGGACAGAGTTCAGATGTCCAATATCCTGCCTCTCATCAGAGGAAGGGAGCTGAAGCGACTGATCAATTTCCTGAGACTCCTCCAAGGTAGTGCCGATGATCTTAACTGGCGAGCACTTTACTGGGAAGAACCACCCTGTGAGCGATTAAAAGCAATAACAAGCCGAGGAAGGTATTTGTGGGAAGCACGGCAGGTGAGAGGCTGCCAGAACCCAGGGAGTCAGATGGATGATGGCTTTGTGATTCTCAAGAACAAAGCCTTCCCTCCCACATCATGCATATGGACAGGCACATAATGACACTGTAGTTGGATCAATGGCGTCTGCCTGAAGGCCTTACTAATCTCAGGTAAAATCCCACAGCAATTAATTGAGCTGTAAAAAGAAAGCTAATGTTTCTATTTCCTTATGAGAAAAGGAGAAAAAAAAAAGAGGAAAATGTCATTTCAGGAAAAAAAAAGGGAGAAATCAGCGAATGCCTTTTTAATCACTGCATTATTTAAATGCCTTTAAACAGGTTTTGTTTTAATTAATGTAGATATGGATAAGAGAAAAGCAACACAGTGGACACACGAACTTGAAATAATATAGAACTGGGCTTGTGTTCCAGCTCCAGTTATTCAACTAACCTCCCAAACTCTCAGCTTGTTCCTCTATAAAAATGGGGCAATACTTTCCCTGGCAGAGTTGTAAACATTTCATTTAATAAGCTATTGTGCTAAACACTCCAAGCAATTGCCTGGCACATAGTAAGCCCTGTTATCATTGCCAAAAGTGCACTTTTAAGAATATATCTATCACCTCAAGTTATTTTCCTTATTATTTAAAAAATAGAATCCCAGGACATTAAAAAAAAATTTCTATCCCCCTTCATGTCCCTAAGTTATGACAGAACATCCCCTGCCATGTCTGCAATTTTTCCATCTTTTTTTTCTGGGAAACTTCCTAATAAATGCTGGTAGCATTGGCCCTCTGGCTATTTATGATTGAATCCTATGGAGGACCTAGCAGCCAGGACTTCCCTCCATTCATTACTTCATTTGGAGAGGTTGCCACATTAAGTGAAATATCAAGTAATTGGCAGCAGAAACAACTATCAAATAACTGGGTAGCTGGAATTGTTCGGTCACAGGGATTTTTGTAAATACTCAAGAAGCAGTGATCTTCAAAGCATTAGGCTTTTCTCACATTATTTGAATCTTTATTATATTCATAAAATTTACACCAGTCTTGGCTGCTCTGGTGCCAGCAGGCAAGTTTAAGTCTATATATTATTGTTGTTCAGTTACTCAGTTGTGTCTGACCCTTTGTGACCCCATGGACTGCAGCATGCCAGTCTTCCATGTCCTTCATTATCTCCCAGAGTTTGCTCAAACTCATGTCCATTGAGTCAGTGATGCCATCCAGCCATCTCATCCTCTGTTGTACCCTTCTCTTCCTGCCTTCAATCTTTCCCATCAGGGTCTTTTCCAATGAGCTGGCTCTTCGCATAAGGTGGCCAAAGTATTAGAGCTTTAGCTTCAGCACCAATCCTTCCAATGAATATTCAGGGCTAATTTCCTTTAGGATTGACTAATTTGATCTCCTTGCTGTCCAACGGACTCTCAAGTCTTCTCCAACACCATAGTTCGAAAGCATCAATTCTTCGGCGGCACTCAGCGTTCTTTATGGTCCAACTGTCTCATTTATACATGACTACTGGAAAAATCATAGCTTTGACTATATGGACCTTTATTGGCAAAGTGATGTCTCTGCTTTTTAATACATTGTCTAGGTTTGTCATAGCTATTTTTCTAAGGAGCAAGTGTCTTTTAATTTCTTATATATTAAGTCTATGTATAAGCACACGTAAATGAAAGTGAAAGTCCCTCAGTTGTGTCTGAGTCTTTGTGACCCCATGGACCATACAGTCCATGGAATTCTCCAGGCCAGAATACTGGAGTGGGTAGCCTTTGCCTTCTCCAGGGGGTTTTCCTAACCCAGGGATTGAACCCAGGTCTCCCGCCTTGCAGGCAGATTCTTTACCAACTGAGCCACAAGGGCCCAAGAACACATAAAGGGATACCTTAATAATCTGGATGTTGAGGAGGTAAGAAAGTGTGAGAAACCAGGCAAGTTATTCTCAGTGGGTGATCCTTGACCCATGACGTAAACTCTCGTAAAAGTGGGTTTCAGTTGGGTTCAACCTGTTCCTCACACCTACCGAACATG